GAGTAGTTTTTGAGTTAAATCGATAAACAAAAAATAAATCATCTTTGCTCGTTATACATAATATTAATTTACAGTGATACACTACCTAAACCTTCGGGCCCCCCAGTTCGGACAGGGCGCCCGCGCGGCCTAGTCGAATCACGGCGATACGAAATTAATTTCGTTGCGCATTACTTTGATTTTGCTATATCTCCTAAGATATTAATTTAATTTGTAAAGGGAAAAAATAATCTTCATGAAATGCTCAAACCAACTAACGTATTTAAAATGATAAGGATTGATACTGTATTTGTGTAAATAGCTTCCCAATTAGTGTTTTATAATTTCCCATTTTTTAAAGTATTAAAATGGATATAATATGTTATCCCTAAGAAATAGACATATAGCGTCACGGACTTTTTTGTAGACCTTCTTAAGGTGTATAATATTTGTACATTATTTTAATCTTTCTCGAAGGGTTCAGCCAGTGTTTGCAATGTAAGTGCAAAAAATGTGTTTACGACATCACATTAGAAACCTCTAAAATTATCAGGGTTTCTCTGCTATATTATGCAAGTATTATACTATTAATTTATAATGTATAATAACATATAATATATTAAAAAATCGCATTAAAATCCGTTGCGTAGTTTTAAAGATATAAGCATACATAGAGACACAGTGGGAAGTAACTTTATTTTATACATATATATAACATTCAACTTGAATGTAATATCTTTTGGATTAGATGCCCTAGAAAATGACAAACCTACTCTATTTCCAAATTGTATATATGAATAATGTTAAATTGAATGATTCTTAGAAATACCGTAACTATTATTAAGCAATAACAAGCACTTTTTTATTAGAGGTTTATTTTATTTGATTATAATTTATGTTAATTACGTATGTTAAATGTAAATGATAATTTTTAAAATCAGTTGTCTGTAATATATGAGTATCACAGCAGTCGTACCTATAACACACCTAATAACTACAACACATATGTATTTAGAACGGAGTTTTACTATTTACAGGAATTCCAATAATAGAGTTCGTATTAAATACAAATAATACATACTCAATATTTCCACATGTCGTCAAAATTTTGGAACATAAGTATTTCCTGAATTTGGGTTTCTGTAATATAGGAATCCAAACCTAAATTCAACGAAATATTAACTTACATATTATTAATTCTTTATCTATTTTTTTCCATATTTGTCATATAATATACTAAATAAACTTAACAGAGTACCTATACTATCCGGAATTCATTTAATGGTAATGGTAGAGTAATCTTAAATAGAACTTGAATAGTTGTAATAGACATCTGATAGGTACCTAGACGTAATATATTTCATTGACGTAATTCCAATTTTATCGCTTTACTTCGACCAGTTAGTTGTTGATACGCAGATTTAGCTTGCAAAAACTAAATTATATAATTACAGTGTCCAGATTTCTTTACGCAATTCACTTCAACGTTAAATACCATACATTTTTAACAATAAACTGTTCTGGTATTTATTAACCAGACGTATTAAAAAAACCATATACACTTACGATATAGGCAAAATCTCGTATAAAGATTTGCATTTACCTGAATTATCGTGACTTTACCATACTATACATCTAACTGTCCTCTCCTGAACGCGCTCTTATACGCTCTAATTAAAAGCAAATGTAACTAAAGAAATCGATACAAGTCGACAAATCTAGCCACGAAAAATGGGCTTGACGACAAATGCCGTTTTTCCTAAAAATATTTTTTTCTGAATAATGGTCGTGCAAAAATCACAGAGTGCATGTAAATGACTGAAGCAATTCACAAGTCGGTTCGCGAGGCCTTTCGTAGCTAATAGTGAAGAATGGTTTCTGCTAACCAGTGACAATAGCGAAAATTAACACATTTGAAATACGGTCATTCACCCACCAGTTTTCCTTAATAATATGAAAAAATGTATTTGAAAAATCTATCAATAGGGTTACTGGTTTTTATATATTTACAACTTTTAATTTTAACAACTAAAGACTAATAAAAGAATTACAGACTTTCTTTCATAAAAAAAAATCAAATCAATAGTGATAAAAGCACAGGATCAACATAGGAGTGTAAGGTATAAACCATATCCAATGTAAAAATATACATACGAGTATACACTCGTATATGATAGCCTATCTCCTTTTCCATCCCATATATTAATTTAATACTAAATTTAGTAGTGAATGATGTAACAAATAATCAAACTCACTTTCACATTTATTTTCTTATAAGTATTGATTTTTGTATAAGGATTGATTTTTCAGTCTCTAATTTCGTCGGTCGATCTATCTATGCAATTTATGACGACAAATTTCAGATGCTACAAATGCTTTCGAAATGAATAATAAAATATGCAGTCTTAAATAAAAAATAGGAGTTAAAATGCAAGAGTGAGACTTAACATAGATTACTTAATATGTAACTGCTGTACTAGTTCAAGAAGGATATTAAATGAAAGGGCTTCTTTTGTATATTCCAAAGCGATTTCTTAAACTGTGTGATTCACAATTGTTAAGTTCTTGCAATTTATAAAACTTTAATTTATAAATATTATCTTTAAAAATCATCATCATATTTTAAAGGATGTATCTCATTTAAAAAAATATCCTACAAGACATTCTTCATTAACAGAATTAAGAATATTTTAGTAGTAAAATTGGCAAATAAAGCAGACATTGTTAAAATTCGGTGTAAATATTGTTAATAGATTATTGTTATATTTTTGATAACAATACTCAATTATAACATTCTAATGACACATAAAACGTATCGTTATAGGTCTATTTCATTGAGTAACGAGTCATCGACTGCTCGTATCAAATGGCAGAGTTCAATGGTGGCGCCACTATAGTTGTAATTATTATTTTCTACCAATTTTAAAAGAAGAGAGGTCTCGATTAGGTTTGTATTTTTCTGATTACGAATATTCTTAAACAAATTTTAATATGTTTTTCTTACCAGGAGGTTTTACTCTCGTATTAGTTCTATACATACAATTGTGTCAAAATAAAAGTTTTTAAATATAACCTATGGTTATGCATATATTTCCCGAATATTTTATTCATTCGTTTTTTATACATGTAAGCAATAGTACTTTGGTATGAAAATAATTTATGAACATCTATATAGATTTATTCCATAATTGCCAATTTACACTATATTTAATTTATTTAAATAATTATTTCACATTAATTTCACAAAAGATATATCTATCTATCTATATTTAATATGTAGAAGTACCTCAGAATACAAAGTACTAGCTTTTGCCCGCGACTTCGTACGCATCGTTCTCAGATCATGAGAGTTTTATATTACAAATATGAAAGTATTTTTGCATTGGATGACAAACAATATGGAATTTGGCTATTAAGGAATACTTGGTATGGCTAATACACGAGATCGAAGTTAGTGATTGTAGATAAATAATTGTTATCATACGTCAATTAGTACTTGGTTTACGATTTAGACTCAAATTCTCCTATATTGTGTTAAACCAAACATAAAAGAATTGAAATCAAAACAAGCTAATTAGGAAACATAATTTCTTTCATTATTCTGATCGTAAATTAAAACTAGACTACATTTATTCAGATCAAAAGTTCCCTCCATTATGCCTGTGGCGATTGTCGACAAAACGAAAGACGAGTGATTACAACTTTCAAATCAATCTTTTTGAAAGAAATTTAAAAATAGGCTTTTAACATCTCTTTTATATTAAAAATTATAAGAATATCATTTTTAGTATGTATGCACTTTGAATTTAATTATCATATTTCTAAGATAATTTCAATATATATTCAATCATTCATAAAGAGACAAATCTTGAAAAAAAAAAATAAAAGTAGTGGAAATGCTTACAACAGATCTATAACTGTTTTATGTTTTATTCATTTTTTACTGTTTTGTGGATATATAAAATTTAAAATGAATTAAACAAAGACAAAAATGAGTAAAATTGTTTATTCTAATAATACTATAATAAATCGTGTTACTACAAAGTTTGCAAAGAAGCTTCAATTACACCTTTTCCACACCGTTCCTCAATTACACACGCAAAGCGTACGATGGATTTAACCATATTCATGACACAAAAAACACAATCACTCTCCATGTGTATTCGAACCTACTTACTTACTATTGCAATAAATTTCAATAGATATCTGTACTTCTGGTACCTATCAAAACAGGTTAAACGCATTTGCTCAGGTGAAGTTTAATTAAATTACTCAATTCAATGACAATAGTAAAATAATGTACTCAAATAGAGAGTTAAAGCTAATAATGATCCAATTAATCTACCTACATTCCTACAACCTCTTTTTAAACGATTTTAAAAACTGTATATAGGTATCTCAATAAACAGACACGCACATTTTAAAATTATATACATATATATTTATATATAATATAAATTAATATCTAAGTAATGCTTAAATTTATTTATGGTTATAATGTTAGTTATAAAAATATATTGGTTCATTATATCCACTATCTAGTACGCACAGTGTCTCAAATTAGAGGCTAAGCGTGGAAAAGAGAGTCCAGTTTACATTACATTTACATCCACTATCCAGATAAGCATGACTTCGTAATCAATGATATTCTTATTATGAAAAGTATAAAAGCAAATGTAATAAGTAACAAGAAAAAATATTCTCGAGACTGAAATTTTTAATGGTGTAGACGTTTTTGGTGTTAACAGTTTCCATTGTAGTGAACACAACACTCGGCATGCTCACATTTCGCCGAGTATATTAAAATTCAAGGTGGCAAGAGACGAGCCTACCGGATTAATTTGGCTTGTTATTATTAGTGGTTTTCGTTACTGGAGATTTAGTTGGCACTTTAATACATACAAAAAATTTTATCTCAGATTTGTACTAAAAACATTAACTGTTTAAGTCGAGTTAGGACGCTGTAGTAGGAACATAATTCTAATTTATATCAATGTGTAGGTTTAACAATAGATACTCACTTTGCTTATAATTCCATTTTTCCTTCATGCAGATGAAGCAGTTTAGAAGTGCGAGATAGATTTGCTGGTAAAAAGTGAAATTTCTCGTGAAGCCGGCCGGTCGCTAATTATTTATTCACAAGTAGTTAAAAACTTGGATCAGCCGACACTGTCTTCGGTTCGCGGCAACTATATATAAACACGTGTTTTATTATATTTGAATTTACTGTTTATTAATTATTATTATATTTTTAAAGTGTCTTTAGTTAAGAAAATATTTTTTGTGTATTTTTTATGTCAAAAAAATTCGTCAGTTTCGGATTCGGCGACGCAACATATAGCCACAGATCTATGGAACGCAGGACGGAACGCGCGCGTCACCATGCGCGTCTTACGAACTACTGCACTGGCTTCACTTATGAACTTTGCGTTCGGTACTGAATAGGAGGGTTAAAATAGCTACTTCACAAAATAATATTTTAATTCGTTTCATGTAACCCGACAGTGAAAATGTACTGATCTGTTAATACTATGGTCTAAGTGCAAAATACTTACTGATATTATTATATTTTCATATTTCATAAAAAAAAAAAAATATAAATATGAAAGCAACTATTTTAACTATAGAGAACTGGATGCAATATCGCAGTAAGTTTTAATATCGCGATGTTGCGGTAGTGTAAGTGTCGAAACTATAAAACTACAGGATATGCAATAGTGTAAAGAGATTTTTTTTATACAGCCCAGCACTATAATACAGTATTTAAAATTTTTTGATAAATATGAGAAATATAATAATAATAATACAATTAGTAGTCGTTGATCTTTTTAAAATCACGAATTAGGCCGGTCAATCACATCTGTCAATTGAAAAAAAAAATTAATTAAACAATTTTCAATATTTCTGAACTGTTTTCAGCTAACTAAACCGACTATCATAAAACATGTTTTTTTTCTAAAATCTTAAATTTTCAAGTCTAAAATATCAGTGATAATTTCATAAGAATTTTATAGCATTTATTATTTTTGAAAATTGACAGTTATTATAGAGTTTGTTGGCATATTTAAGGTTATTTTTTATAGAGGAGCCCCTTCCCCATACCCTTGCTTGTCTCTAGAAAAGGCACATGTACTCTCAGACATGACATGAGTTAAGAGTGTGTGCGCATAGTTGAAAGTTGCTGCTCGCTACCTAGGATAGATACCAGACAAATACCTCAACCAGACTCCATAAATACACCTATACTAGAATCTGATCAAACTCAGATTCGGAGATTTAATCATTGTCAATCAAAATGTAATTTGTATCTCTCCATTTTTAATATTGTGTTTTAAAGAAATTATTTTAATTTATTTTTTTCCAAAATCAAAATATTAAGAATATTTAATAGTCGTAATTGTCGAAACTTGATAGTACTTTATATACTTATTGATATTATAAAAAATATGTTTGTACACTTTCACAAAAAAAGGTATTTCAAATTATGCTATAAAGTAGCTTTTTTATGTATAACTATAGTGGCAAAGAAGCATACAAACTCGTCTACACTTTACATTAATGAAAAATATGATTTGCGATGAATGTAAATAAAAAAAATAAGAATAGAATTTAACGAATTTATAGAGAATAAATTCAAAATGAAATAATAAAGAGATTGCTATTTTTTTTTTTTTTTTATTAAAAATACTTGATAACTTGTAACACTATTTCTATTTTCTAATAAAATAAATATAAAATAGATCAATTGGTTTTTAGATGTTTACAATCCATAGAGTGTATATGTCCTAAATATAAATTGATATACCTATACCAATATCCATTGGAGTATATATCAATTTATTATTATTGAAAGTGAGGTAGTAGTGATAAGTATATATCATTTCGCAAAAATAAAAAATATAGAGTGAAGACAAAAGTAAGAGAGTGCCTCTTCATTGTAAATATAAAGAATCTGTATAAAGAATGTATATATATTCTCTTATAGAATAAAAGTAGCTTAAAAAGAAAATGTCTAAGTGAACACACATATGTATTATCAACTTTAATATTCTTTTGATCAGAAAGAGTATTTAGATCAGTACCGACAAAATGATGACCCTTTGAATTATCAAGAAACAATGTGACCTATTATCACCACACCACTTAATAAATATAAAACAAAAAAGTAGCTTCTCTTTATTATACCTAAACGACGTAGACATGTGTTGTGCGTATCTATAATAAAATAAAAAGATCTTGCATGTAACAGTTATAAGAATAAATACTAAAGCGAATCAATACTTTTGTTATATTTATTCAGAAATTATTTAATCTTAATGATGAACAAAATGCAAATTGACTCCTTTCGGTCCTTCTACAATTATATCTATATGTTAATGTCAAGTCTGATACCATAATAAGAATTGGTATATACTATTATGGTGGTAAGCAAACATACAGCCCGTCTGATAGTTATCGGTTACCGTAGTCTATGGACGCCTGCAACACCAGAAATCTCACATGTGCGTTATTGACCCTTAAGAAGCATTATTTCGCTCGTTTTTGAAGAACTCTATGCTGTTGTCTTAAGTGAAAACCACGTCAGGAAAGTCATTCTGTAACCTGAGTATTCACGAAAATTAAGAATACAAAAATATATACATTTATAAATTTACGAATTACAGATTACTGATAATAATGTTTTGTTTGTTTGCAGATTAGATGAATAGCATTGCGCAGCTCTTTATGCACACATATTAACATTCACATATTCAACAAATATGAAACCAAGAGACTTATCTAAAATAACAATTTATAAGTTATTAAACAGTAAGAAAAATATGGTGAACAAAACCTCAGCTGTTTCTCTTGGAGATTATTTATCGCAGAAAAGTCACAAACTCAAATAAAAAAATATTTATTTAAGTTTGAATACATTTTCCTTAATATTATCTACCACTATTTGCATTAGCATCTCTGACATCGACATATCGTGATGTTCGTTTTGATAATTATATCAGAGACGAAACAAAATCTATCATTTTTATAGAGGTTAACAATATTAGAGTCTAAGTCTGTATGATAGGCACTAAGAAATATCGCCGTGAGAATATTCTGGTACATTAATGTTTTGGAATGTTAAGGTAACATTCTGTTCTTAAAAGGTTGGCGGTAAAATAGTATTTTTTCAAAAGGTTATAACACATTATGCGTGTTTGCACTTGAGCCATACTTAGCTTATATGGTACGGGCAACTATAGATTACCGTAAACTGCAAATAGACTACTGGAACTATAAGTTTGTAGTCAATACAATAGATTAATACTCAATACGTATATGTAGAATTAACTATACCAGCGAAATATTTTATATTGTATAAATTACATGTTATTTATTAAGGAACATGAAAACAGTTGTGCTCACAAAATGATAAGATATTATTATTGCTTTAATAATGCATTTCATTGCATTATCGAACACATCTGCGGTCTACTCTACGTAATAATAATACAGTACACTTCAGATAAGTACATATTTATATGAAGAATCGATTTATTCACTTTATAGTTGTTCGCGATCTTTAAAAATATGTATCTATATAAATAATATATAATATAAAATCGTAAAAACCTAATAGTATAGTAATATATATGATTGCGTAAAAGTTAATTTATACATTTCTTTTTTTTTAAATAAGCTAGCGATTAAATGACTGGATAAGTTAATGGCTTTTCTCGTAATAAAGTGGATTTTTAAAATCATTGTATTGAGTCTGATAGAATAACGTTTTTCTATATTTAAGAAAAATAAAATATTTATAAATTTATTATAAACTAACTGTATCCCACGGTTTAGCCCATTTTATACAACCACAGAATCATTAGGTATATAAAATACCTATCTTACATTTAAGGTTATATATACTATCCATGTACCAAATTTCAAATATTTTTGTGTGAAAGGGTAACAAATATTTGTCTAGTGAATCTCTTCTTTTTTAAGTCGGTTAAAATCCGTTATATTACATTATATCTCTAAACTACCTCCACCTTATTTGATGTGATTCATCCGTATAATATATAATACTTACAAGGTACTTCTAAGCCTACCAATATAGGGTGTGATATAACTAATATAATAATTGTTCTAACAAGTGTAAGTACCTTCGCTACAAATGATTCCCATAAACTAATTATAACACTTGAAAACATCTCTATGTGTGGTAGACATGAATTTATAGGGCTATTAGCCAGAAGGTCATTCACAGCCGCTGATGTCACCAATCTCCATTGCGACTGATTTACTGACACCACTTGGGATCAGGGCCTCAGACTGATGATATATCATGTCAGCCTGGTCCTTCAAATATACGCCAAAATAATTAGTTATCGTTAAAATTTCGTAAATACATACACGTATAAATGCCCATATCTTAATTTATGCTATAATTTTTTCTCATCAAATATGTCGAAGTGTAAAGCAATGATATATCCTTACCAATATATGAAAGTGAGTTTGTTTGTTTACTACCTTATACTTTAATGGCTTAATTCATCACTATGAAATTAGATATTATACGTGTTATATGGGATGGAATGGGATATAAGCTACTCAATCAATTAACATATCCCGGTCACGCGAACGAAATCGCGGGTAAAAGCTAGTGGTATATAATAATATGATTGTAATTATAAAAATAATGTAATTAGTAAGCTTATAATCGGACCCGTCTACAAAATTTTTATTGATTTATAATAGTCCCAGATGATCTCGAAATTATTCAAGTATTCTAAATTGAAATTTAAAAGTACAAAATATGTTTCTGGTTAATTTCAACTTCAAAATGTATGACCCGGCATAGGGCCACCCCCTCTTTTCTCATGGGTGTCGTAAGAGGCGACTAAGGAAAGGCGAGGGATGGGCAGCAGCGTCCCTTTTAAATCATCTCTAAAAGTCTGACTGCGGTTGCCAACTGGCTTGCAAAGCAACTACTACAACTACTGACAAAACTCCCCTTATGGGAAAGGCCTATGTCCAGCAATGGACAGTTAACAGCTAAAATAATAGATAACAATAAAAACAAAAATTATCAAGACGATTAAATATTGTTTGGGATTTTTTATTTATATTTTTTTTTTCTTGTTAAAGAATACGACTGAATAAATAAAAATCGCTTAATAATTGGAATATCTCTTAAATTACACGAAAAATATCATAGGAACGAGCGACCACTGTACTAATAAATTAATAATATTATTATATTTGTCAACATCTAATAAATTTAGTCAGAAGTGGCGCCAGCAATAAATGGATTCACCGAATTTTATCTCTTTGTAACTATTATAACTTTACAGAAATCTGGGACCGTAATTAATCGATACAGACATTGAACTTACTAAGAAGATATTTT